CCCCAAAACCCCAAAACCCCAAAACCCCAAAACCCCAAAACCCCTTGGTATTTAGCAATTATTGAATCTAATTAGAGCTTATGGTATCTGAAACACTTAAAATGGCACATCTGGATTACTTATGGATTATTATGACTTGATGACCCTCGTGACAGTCTTCCTATCGCCCTTAATAGATTCGATTTTCTTAATAAGACCTCCTCAGACTGGCTTTATGCTTAATTTTTCACAATATCTCTTATAGTCTTCATAAACGTTGATGAGCAATTCTTGGATGTTGAGCACTGCTTTTGTATAATCGTGGTAGTTCTTGGACTCAACTAACAAATACGTCTTTGTTTTAGACTTATCACCATAGGAATTCTTCGGAATATCTAAAGGATAACTACTAAATGCACTTACCTGCAAGGATTTCTTGGTACTGCTCATCGTCTTGATCATCCTCCTGATCTATATATTTGAGAAAAGAGTCTTACCATTCTCTTGGGTTAGATCTTTAGTGACAAATCGGAGTTTTACGGAGTCCTTATTGTCAACATTACATTTTTCTTCAATTCTCTTCATGTTACAGCCCATTGTACCCATGATTCTCTGTTTGAAGTTGAACTCTCTGTCTTCTATCTGTAGTTCAAAGTAGCATCTTTTGATTGTGGATTCTTCTAAATTATGAACAATGATTACCTTGAAAAGTTTGTACATCTGTCCCATTTTCATGTGGTTTCGACCCATCAAAAGCATTTGGGTAATGGTTATTATTCTCTAGAGAAATGCCTTCATGAAGTTCAGGATCTTTAACAGCTTCATTGAAGAACATTGTGTTGACTGGAATGCTACTAGGGATCCAGTTTTGCCTAATTTTAACCATATTCTCCTCTTTTATTTTTGACATAGAGGAGGCATCTCGAGGATCTTCCTTCTCTTCTTCAAATTTCCTCAAACTTTGTTTTTCTGGTTGGGTTTCTTCAGCTTGTTTGCGGAGGTCTTTAGAGTCCCGCTTGGAGAGTTTCCTCTCATTGAAGTTATGGTCAATCCATTTCACTATCAAATTAGCCTTTAGACTTGTGATATATTCCCCATCCAAAAACTGCTGGCAATAGAAAGCAGCAATAGGATCTTTGTATTTTATATGAACTGTGTTGGCATCTTTGAAGTCATAATAAGCAAGATCTCCAAATTGAGCCAAGAAATTCCTTTTCAAGTCTATTTGCGACAGATTGCAGGTTCTTTCTGGATCCCTGATCTTCATCACTAATTGGTATCGATCAGTCGTGTGTAAACCATGATACTGGAGGATTTTCTCAATCTTATCAGAAAGAGTCTTGTCCCAGTAGATCATCAAATTGCTCATTTTCTTAATAATTTAATATATTTTAATGAACTGGGGTTTTGGGGTTTTGGGGTTTTGGGGTTTTGGGG